AATATAAAAAGGTAAGAGAGGATCACATCATCTCCACTGCTGCCATCAGTTTACTTTTCCTCCTAGTAAGACCAATAGGACAGGATAACCAAATAAAACCACTGTTCATTTCTCAAATAATTATTCACTGTGTTACTAAAAACCAAAGTAGACCTGAGAATAACCCATATAAATATTTCAGAGTTCAGGTTTTTACCTGTAATAAATCCTACTTTAACATGGCTCAATACAACAAAAACATGAGTATTCTGAAAATCAGGGACTTCCACAGTGCATTAACGTTGCTTATCCAGGTCCTAGTATTGCCTCAGAGAAACCACCAGAATTTGCCAGGCATGGTGGCTCATGCCTGTAATCCCAGCACTTTGGGAGGCTGAGGTGGGCGGATCACAAGGTCAGGAGTTCGAGACCAGCCTGGCCAACATAGTGATACCCCATCTCTACTAAAAATACAAAAAAATTAGCCAGACATGGTGGCATGTGCCTGTAGTCCCAGCTACTCAGGAGGATGAGGCAGTAGAATCGCTGGAACCCAGGAGGTGGGGGTTGCAGTGAGCCGAGATCACACCACTGCACTCCAGCTTGGGCAACAGAGTGAGACTTCGTCTGGGGAAAAAAGAAAAACAAAGAAATCATCAGAATTACTAAATATTTAACAAGAAATGAGTTTACCGAATTTAGAAGTTACCTAGAGACTGAACATTTTGACTGAATTGGTTTAAATCCAGAAATAGGACAATCCATGCTTACAAGTCTTATGCCTTATTAAATCCAAACATGCATATTTTATATAAAATAGTTTGTATTATATGTAATTGGGGCAGATCATCCACTAGCAGAAAAATTGGAAACATTCTTATATTACATTTGAAATCCTGGCACTTTGGGAGGCTGAGGTGGGAGGATTACTTGAGACCAGGAGTTCAAATCAAAACTAACCTGGCCAACATAGGGAGACACACCCTATCTCTAAAAAAAATAAAATTTTTTTTTTGAGACTGAGTCTGCTCTATTGCCCAGGCTGGAATTCTGTACTACAATCTTGGCTCACTGCACCCTCTGCCTCCCAGGTTCAAGCAATTCTCGTGCCTTAGCCTCCCCAAGTAGCTGGGATTACAGGTGCCCACCACAATGCCCAGCTAATTTTTGTACTTTAGTAATGATGGGGTTTCACCATGTTGGTCAGGCTGGTCTTGAACTCCTGACCTCAAGTGATCTGCCTACCTCGGCCTCCCAAAGTGCTGGGATTACAGGCATGAGCCACCACACCCAGCCAAAAAATAAACATTTTTTTTTAAGTACAAATTGCTCTTAAACATGAAACAATTTTCAACCTCACTAATAAGAGAAATACAAATTAAAACTATACTGAGATCCCACTGTAACCTATCAGACTGAAAAGATTGAAGTATCTGGTCACAGGCCGGGCGCAGTGGCTCATGCCTGTAATCTCAGCACTTTGGGAGGCCAAGGCTGGCGGATCACGAGGTCACGAGATCAAGACCATCCTGGTTAACACGGTGAAACCCCGTCTCTACTAAAAAATACAAAAAATCAGCCAGGTGTGGTGGCGGGCGCCTGTAATCCCAGCTACTCGGGAGGTTGAGGCAGGAGAATGGCGTGAACCCAGGAGACAAAGCTTGCAGTGAGCC